TCACACCCAACCCAGTTCTGCGGAATCAGAATCAACGTTGAGTTTAAGCAAGCGAATGAACCAATTGGAGTAAAGTGTAATGCAGATTTAAATTTTTCCTACTTGTGACGAATGCAGTTATCGATTTTTTTTTGTTTGTTTGCGTGCTAGCATGCTAGTTAACATTCGTGTCAGTCAGCTGTTGGCTCTCACGATGGCCAATAGAATCCTCCCGCCTGTTCGTGATAACCAGCTGTTGGCTCTCACTGTGGGCAGTATAAAATGGCTGCAAACTACATGAAAACTGCCGTAGAAGCATGAAAAAATCGATTATTTTCACTATCGATGGGAGTTGGGAAATGCAAAGTCGGTCTTGGCCTTTCCGCTAACTTGGAGCATGTGCATGTAAATTTTGGTGAAAATCCGTCGAAAATTGCCGCCGTGCATTCGTTATACACACACATCCTGCCTTTTATAGATAGAGGTGTAAATAGTTTTTCTTTAACTTAAAATAAATATCGTGGATAATTTTTTAAAATACATTTGTTAAAACTTTTATGTCCCGTCCAGGCAAAAACTGTATATATGGGATTATGTAAAAATTACTAGAGCAAATGTTGCAATAAGGTCATTGTGTAAGACTGTGTTCTCTAAATATTTTGGTGAAAGAATCAATATTCGAACAAAGGTTATTAGGGTCAGGTTATTGTGGCAACTGATGTTAGCGATAGGACAAGCGAGGTGCAGCCATTCTTTTGACCTATTAGCTTTGTTTGTACTCAGTCAGTTATGTGCCAGGTGTGATAGAAGCTTAGGCGATCATGTATCTTTCGATATATGACTAACGAGGTAGATTTTTTCCTGCAGTTCGTTGGCATTTATTTTTGAGGTATTAGATCAGTTGCCATCCAAGGCTATAGAACCAGGTCTGTCCTGCTATTTACCCATAGATGAGGGGTGAAGAAGAGGATTCATACGTTTCCGAAACTTATTAGCACGTAAGTGAACGTAATGGATTCGACCGGAATACGAAATCGACTCCTCGACTGTGCAATAAATAGGGGACGCTTCTGGCGAAATTCGTTTATTCATTATTTGAGCGTCAATAGATTTCAACAGAATTCGTGACATGTGAAAAATCACGTCTCTAGTAAACAGACGATACATCGGCAATTTTTTAAAGATTTTTTTTCCAAGTTTCGGCCGATAGATTCTTTATTCCATGAATTTTTCGGACAAGAAGACTTACCTTTGATCGTTTCTACCAAAAATTCCAGTCTTCACTAAACACACGATACATCAAAAAAATTTTCAAGTTTTTTTCTGAGATTCGGACGATAGATTCTTTATTCCATGAATTTTTCGGACAAGTAGACTTACCTTTGATCGTTTCTACCAAAAATTCCAGTCCTCACTAAACACACGATACATCAAAAAATTTTTCAAGTTTTTTTCTGAGATTCGGACGATAGATTCTTTATTCCATGAATTTTTCGGACAAGAAAACTAACATTGTTGGTTTCATTAAAGAAGGCCAATCTTCGGTAAGCACACGATAGACACATCAGCAATTTTATTCAAAGATTTTTTCTAAGGTTTAACCGATAATTTATTCCATGAATTATTCGAAGAAGAAGACTTACCTTTGCTGTTTTCATTCAAAACATCTAGTCGCTGGAAAACACACGATACATCATCAATTTTATTCAAAGTATTTTCATCTCTAAGAGAGATTCTTTATTCCATTAATTATTAAAACGAGAAGACTTAATTTTGTTTGTTTTATACAAGAAGTCTAGACTTTGGAAAACACACGATACATCAACAATTTTTTTCAAATATTTTTTCTGAGATTCGGCCGATAGATTCTTTAATCCATTAATTATTCGAAGAGGAAGACTTAACTGTGTTGGTTTCACCCCAAAAGTCTAGTCTTCGGTAAACACACGATACATCAGCAATTTTCTTTCAAGGATTTTTTTCTATGATTCGAACGATAGATTTGTTAATCCATAAATTACGTGGACAAGAAGACTTACCTTTGTTGGTTTTGTCCAAAAGTCTTGCCTTCAGCAAACATATACTACATCAAAAATTTTTTCAAGAATTTTTTTGCAAGATTAGGCCGATAGATACTTTATTCCATGAAGTTTTAGGACAAGAAGACTTAACTTTTTTGGTTTCATCCAAAAAGTCTAGTAATTGGTAAACACATGACATATCAGCAATTTTTTCAACACACAAGACATAAGTTTTTTTTCTAAGGTTCGGCTGATAGATTCTTTATTCTATGAATTATTCGGCAAAGAAACCTTACCTTTGATTGTTTCATCCAAAGAAGTCCTGTTTCTGATAAACACACGATACATCAGCAATTTTTGTCAAGGTTTTTTTTTCCATGATTCGGCCGAGAAATTCTTTATTCCATGAATTATTCAGACAAGAAGACTTACATTGTTGGTTTTATCCAGAAGTTTAGTCTTCGGTAAGCACACGATAAAACAGCAATTTATTTCAAGATTTTGTTCTAAGAATAGACAGATAGATTCGTTATTCCATGAAATATTCGAATGAGAGGATTTATCTTTGTTGGCTTCATAGAAAAAGACAAACGATACAGCAGCAATTTTTTTCAAGTTTTTTTTTTCTAAGCTACAGTCGACAGATTCTTTATAGCATTAATTATTCGGACAAATCACTTACCTTTGTTGGTCTCACCCAAAACTCTAGTCGTCAGTAAACACACGATATATCATCCACTTTTTTCGTGTTTTTTTTTTTAAGATTTTGACGATATAGTCTCTATTTCATGAATTATTGGGTAAAAAAAAACTACCTTTCTTTAGTTTCACCCCCAAAGTCTATTCTCTGTAAACACACAAAATATCAGCAAATTTTTTTCAAGTTTTCTTTTCCAAGATTCGGTCGACAGAATCGTCACTCCAAGAATTATTCTGTCAAGAAGATTTACCTTTGCTTGTTTTATCCAACAGTCTTTCATTCGGTAAACACACCACGATATATCAGCAATTTTTTTAATGTCTTTTTCTAAGATTCGACCGACAGCGTTTTTTTAACACGAATTCTTTCGGACAAGAAATCTTACCTTTTTTGGTTTTAATGAAAAGACCAGTCTCTGGTAAACACGATACATCAGAATTTCTTTTCAAGGAATTTTCTCTAAGATCTGGCGGATAGGTTCTTTAGTCCATGTATTATTAAGACAAAAAGACATACTCTAGTTGATTTTATGGATAAATGTCAGTCTTCGTTAAACACACTGTACATCAGCAATTTTTATCAAGTTCTTTTTTCCAAAATATGATCGATAGATTTCTTTTTCTATGAATTGTGCCTTTCGTGGTTTCATACAAAATGTCCAGTCTCTGGTAAACACATGATGCATCAACAAATTTTTTGATTTGACCGATAGATTTTTTATTGCATGAATTATTCGGACAAGAAAACTTAAATTTTTTGCTTTCATTCGAAATGTCCTGTCTCCGTAAACTAAGGATACACCAGATATGTTATTCGAAAAAAAAATCCCTTCCTCCAACGTTTTTGCCGATAGATTCTATCAACCACTTTTCAGAACGAGTGTTTCCATTATTACATGAATTATTAAAACAAGATTTATCGTTTTTCTTTTTTTTTTTTTGCTTTTATTCCAATTTTTCAACTTTTCAACCAATAAATTAGGACTTCATCAATATTATTCTAAATTTTGGAAATGTCATTATTCACATAAATTATTCACGCATATCTCCATATTTTTCTTTGATGTATTCATTGAACTTTTTTAAACATGTCTTCTATTTTCATTTTAATTCTAAAAAAAAAAAAAAAAACATTGAATATATTTTTAAGTGACAACTAATCTATCTTGAGTCATTTAAATTAACTCTTCCAAGGATATAAGTACACATTGATCTACTTCCTCGAATCTACAAGACTCCGGAAGAAAACCCGTTGTTAGGAACATTGCAGCAATATTATTACTACGCGGTGTGATGATAAAGATTCCAGAAAATTATGATCAACATCAGAGTAAAGTAGCCTATGTAAGAACTCATACTGCATCATTCTTTGAAAGGTCAAAGCAGTATAAGAAGTAAACATGACCAAAAGTTGGGTTACACTAATTGCCCAGTGGCGAGATTTACAGGGTAGAATTGGTGGGAGATAATGCACACACACACACACACACACATATATATATATATATATATATATATATATATATATATATATATATATACTCATATATATGTATATATACATATACGTATATATATATATATATATATATATATATATATATATATATATATATATATTTATTCGAAAATTATAACATAAATGTGTTATAAAATCACTACAAAAATAGCCATTTTTTTCAACACTTCTAGCGTCTTATGAAGTGTTGAAGTTGAATGTAGAATTTCTATATTCAACACCATCACTTGATAAGACACCAGAAGTGTTGAAACAAAATAACTATTTTGTAGTGATTTTATAACATATTTATGTTATAATTTTCGAATAAATTATATTTGCTCTACTCTGTATTGACCACGCTTTGAAGAATTGTATTTTTTGGCTATTGGAATTTATTCCGTATACACCAATCCTATACTTGGGCATATATATATATATATATATATATATATATATATTATTTGGGGTGTTGGTAGATATCTTTAGTTGAGACGATATTTGGCGATGTGTATTGATTTGAAAATAGAAGAGAGGCCAAGTAGGGATTGAGAATTTGGTTGATTGTTACTTTCCCTATGCCATATCAACCTTTTGCAGGTTATTTAAAGCCAGAATATATTTTTCAAATTGTACGAATTTCTGTGGAGATAATAATGACTTTCTGATACAAATCGTAAGAATTAACCGAGGCATATCTTTTCCAAGTGGATTTACGCGAAAGTGAATATGACGAACCCGACTGGAATTGGAACTCCTGGTCATTATCCATTACACCACCCGCACATCCAAGCTTATTTCAGCCTGGTGTTCCCAAGCGGTCATCCATCTAGGTACTGACCATGCTCAACGTTGCTTAACATCGGTAATCGTACGGTAACCGGTGTTTTACCATGATATGGCTGAAAGCCTTTGATGTATTAGCTGATTGTTTTGGTGATATGATAGATAGGTTTAGGAATGTGGGAGTTTACTGGTCTAAGTTGAACTCGTGGTTTGTGGGGTTTTATTTTTATATAAATTCATCCTGGTTTGTATTTGCCAATCATGTCTTTTTTGTGTGTGTTTAAGTAACTTGCGGTACAAGAATCTGTTTAAACTGTCCTGATTAACTTAAGGAGGAGTATTAGAATAATCCAAAAACGATACCGTGGAACCAAACGAAGGTATGTGGAATATAATAATGAATTGAGTAAGTAAACACAAATAAAAAAGAAAAGAAAAGTTAGGTGTCTTCCTTCCAGACTTGTTCAAACTCTACAGTGAGGCTATCCTACAATCTTAACCTAACCAATGCTAGGGTTATTCATTATCTCCCTTTCCTATACACTTAAATGGCTTCTTAACGTAACCCTCTACCTTGTGTGGACCCCGGGTCTTGTAAATGATAACTCTTACCTTAAAAAATATTAAAATACAGGACATTATCTTCCCCTTACACCCTTTCTCGACGATCATCAATCGCTAACTTCAGTATTTCAAAATTTTGTTCTTTCATTGTCCTTTCTTCAGACTAAAGTCATTGAATTTTTTTTAACTCTCAGTGGCTGATTGCCTCTTCGTGGCATTATCATCTTGCTTGGAGTGAATTGATTAAAAAACAAACTGATATTACATGACATACACATTCTAGCATCTCGTCATTGGCTTTCCCTTGACATCCAGAGAATTGTCTTATATTTGTTCATAACCTCCTAATTTACGTGTCGTTTCCCTGATCACTACAATTTTAACCTATTGAAGGCTAGGGTTAATCGTTATCTCCCTCTCCTATACATACAAATGGCTTCCTAACGTAACCCTCTACCTCGAGTGGACTCCGGGTGTTGTAAAGGATGGCTCTCACTGTTGTAAAAAATATGTATGATTGTCAGCAAAAAAGAACAGCCCAAGAAGTTAACTAATCGAATTAAGAAGCGAAAATGGAGACGTTAAAACCCTGTATAGAAAAGGTGTGTGTCTTCCCTCCAGACTTGATTAAACTCTACAATTAGGCTATCCTACCGAAGGTGGACACCTTACTAAAATTTATTATCAGTGGACGCAACCACAATAATATGTTCCGTAGATGACACTGTGTTGTTGGCAGGCACAGAATGAAAACTGCAAAACTTTATCGATTATGTAGTGAAGAGAAGCAAGGATTAAGCATCAGTTGTAAGAAGACGGAATACAAACGACATTCCCTGGTCCCGCCAAAGCAAACCTTAACATCAAGAACATGACATGCTACTTACATAGTAGCAAAACATCCACATTCCCTGCGTATTCGACCAGTGAGACATAAGTTCCACTCGAGCAGCTTCTTCATACGAACCACTACCATGTAGAACCGACTCTCAACAGGATGTTTCCTCGATCACGACAATCTTAACCTTTCCAAGGCGAGGGTTAATCATAATCTCCCACATACATGCAAATTGCTTTCTAACGTAATCCTTTAACTCGAGTAGCCCCCGGGTCTTGTAAAGGATGACTCTCACGGTTGTAAAAAAAAAGGTACGATTGTCAACAAAAAGAACAGGTCAAGAAGCGAACTACTGGAGACGTCATAATCATGTATAGGATTGTACATTTTTGAGAAATATTTTAATAGATAACCGAAAATATGGTACCGAAATCCAAAGATGCGTTTGAAGAGAAGCTAAGTGATGTATTATGAAACAAGAAAATGTTAGAAACAAAGATAAGAGCGTTGAACTGCTATTTAGTATTAATCCGCTTGTATGGCAGTGAATACTGGACAATCTCCTCATGCCTTTCAGAAACTAAGCAAAGGATAAATAGCTAGAAAAATGTCCTTAGAAACAAAGAAAAGTGTGCCTTAATGCTATTTAATATAAGTTCACTTGTATGGCAGAAAAGGGCTAGACAATATTCTTGTGGTTCTATGTTTCAAATTTCTAAAACATATCATAAAGAAAGAGAACTTGGAGAATTCGAACATACATTTCTATGCGAGTGAATATTGTGTTAACAATTTCAGTAGATGACAATGATATTCCTGTATACACCTTTTACTATTTAAGCCATAGATGGAGGAGCAAACGATAGGACCTCGTATAATCTTAAAGCTGAAATTGGAAAACAGACCTTGTAAAACTGAATCCTCTTACTGAGGGAAGTGTGGCACAGCAAGCTATTTCCATCACGAATTTGTGTGAATCGATAGTGGAAAGGGGTTGGCACCTTAACGACGAGTCACAAGAGGTAGGAATTTTTGGAGAACCATGATCACACATGCCCTAATAAGAGACGCCAGGTAGAAGAAAAAGGCTCGGGCGGTTTCAAACAGGCATCGAAAACCGCTATTAGGCATAATTGTAAGACGTTCATGACGATACGACTTTTTTTTTCTATTTTCACATTATTAAACTGCATTGTCAGTATAAAATTGTCCAGGCATTCTTTCTTCATAACGTGTCTTAGGAATTTCAACTGTGGCTGATGTTAAGCATAAATTTCCTATTTGTTCCCATTTTTTCTAAAACTTCATCCTTAGGTTGATGGTATTCTCAGCATCAATCTGTAAAAACATAGTTCTGTTGTCTCTTCCTCGTCCGTGAGAAAATTATCCAAGATTTCACTGCATATATAGAAGGACTCATAATAGGTAACATTTCAGTCCACTTTTAAAAAAAAAAATTTCTTAGTGTTGGTTTTCTGATTGATTTTTTTTTCTTTACGGCTTATCAACCATTTGCAGGTTATTCTAAGCCATGAAATATAGATCGTAAGAATTTCTTTGGAGATAATAATGATTTTCTGATGCAAGTCATAGTAATTAACTGGGGCGCGTAGAGATGGGATCATACTTTTCCCAAGCGAAGTGAATATGCCGAACCCTACTGGAGTTGGAACTCTGCTCTGCGATTTCTAACTGCGAACCGTTGTCAGTTGCAGTAGCCGCACTACAAATAGTGAGTGGGTAAGAAAAAGACAAACATTACTAAGAGATGAAGATGATGAAAATGTGGAGAGTCGTCATTGTTTACGTTCTTAAGCGATACAATGTGTAGCTGAAGGAAATAGGTTTATCATTTGGGTGATCTTGTTTTTAGATATGGAAGGCTATTGTGTTATTATTTGTCTTAGTGACGCTTCGGGTTTTTCATTTTCCACATATATTTGTTGATTTATCTATCTATCTATCTATCTATCTATCTATCTATCTATCTATCTATCTATCCAAAAATATCAGACATAACAGATATTCTATATATAGGTTTAAATAATAATCTGGTGCCCTAATACAATATATATATATATATATATATATATATATATATATATATATATATATATATATATATATATATATATATATATCCGTGGGGTAAATATTCCAAATAGATTCTAATAAAATAAAATATTAAAACCGATCCACAAAGAGAGCTTAATGTATTTATTAACAGAGCATATGGAAATAAATTACATATAAGAGAAATTCAAAAATACCCCATATGTATAGCTATTCCTCACAAGAATTACCTTGCAAGGATTGACACCTACATGGGGTTTGGAGATAAAAAATTTTATCTTCAAACCACGTGGGGTTGAAAATCCTTACAAAGTAATTCTTGCGGGACGAAATAGCTATACATATGGGGTATTTTTTTTTTTCTCTCTTATATATATATATATATATATATATATATATATATATATATATATATATATATATTAGACGATATCTTTTTTTTTTATCGAATATATTTTGTGTTTTTTTTTTTTTTTTTTTTTTTAAAGGAGACTATATGTTATGTCTTTCTTCGTTATTCCCTTTGTTTTCGTTTTTCGCTGGAAAAATGACTATAAGTAAATATTAAAAATTGTAATAACCCTCATTTACCACCGCATGATGAGATGTGATGATATGCATCGAAACATGAATGCATTTATGTAGCGGTTTTTACATATGTTCGAATGTAATATCCGATAATAAATAATTATGGCTCTACTATTGTACTGAGCCCTGTTTTTAAATTAATGTTGTGAACGTTTAAATTTACGTCATTCTTTCTCATTTCATATATATATATATATATATATATATATATATATATATATATATATACTGTGTACGTAGTTTATTTTTTCTAAGGTCCTTCAGTTATTCCTATCTATTTTCTTTCGTTATCTGCTAATTTTACAGTGGCTTAGTATATTAAATTTGTTTGCAGGTGATCACCTTTTAAGGGTCATTTGTTTTTGCTCTGCTGTTACACGTGGTTTTGATTTGTGAGAGTAGTTTACGCAATAACAGTTTTCAACAAATACTTTCTAAACCTATGTGGGAAATTAAAAAAAAAACAACAAATACGCCAAAAATATCATGGAAGATAAGGGAAAGAACACCACCCTAAAACAATAACTTCAAAAATATATATTGTGTATAGAGGAGAAAATAACTATAATTACCATTCCCAGAACGACACAAATTACTAAATAAATGATAAGAACTTATCTCAAAATTCAGTCACGAAAACAAATCTTACTCCGTTAATTAGAAATCGAAAACTAAAAACGAACAAAAATAAATAAATAATAATAAAAAAAATAAGTAAAATAAATCAACCCAAATCAATAAATAAATATATAAATTACGTAAATAATAAACAGATTCACAAACTATGAACACAGACATAAACACAAGTAAATGTAATAACAACCAACAACAAAATAATAAAATAGTCGGTAATAAATAATGATTAAACTGAGAGCAAACAACATTGTAAAGGAGTTAGAAAACATCATGCGGCTCCACAATTATTTCCATTCAATGAACCATAGAGAAATATGAAACATGACCGTTAACGTTCACTGAAATAACCGTTAGAATATTAACATAGATCAAACCATAATGAACATACAGCATACAGTTGAGCCAAAACACAACGAACATA